CTCTAAAATAAAATACTGCAATGGAAACAGACATGAAGAAATGGTGAGGTCATGTGACTGTGCAGACAGATGTGATTGGGTGGAAAGTGACTGCGCATTAATCATTCGATTTTCTGTGTGTATGTCTAAAAATCTAATAATCACATTAAAATGATCGATGTGGATGGGTTGCACAGTCACACCTGGGGGGCTGATGCATGCTCAGGTACACGCTTCATCAGCGTTAACAGCACAGGAAGGTGGTCATGGCTGCTTCCCCGCAGGCTTTACATGCACTGCTTCACACGGCCACCAGAGGACTCCCTCAGCCTTCAAACAGGTGTTAGCACACGAAGGCTGACGGGGGGCTTGGGACCCGGTTTGGGCCACCTTGACCTCAAACAGTCACAGCATGGATAAAGTCACTGAGCTGCAACATCAGCGTGACCAACAAAATCTCGCTCAGCCCTGACACAGACCTGAACACCAGACCAGACGTCCCTGCATTTATTTCTGCTAACACCGGCGTCACCTGCAGAGAATCACCTGAGCCTGATGGCGGTGAAGTCGTCCACGTGCGCTGGGTCGGACCGTCTGCAGGACTCTCTGGTGGATTGTGGGTAATGCAGCCTGATGAGGTTGAACTCGTTGCACGGATGTTTTCATAGCTGGGTTACAGGTGGAAACTCCACCAGGTGTGCTGGGTCAGGACTCCCAACCCAAATCCACCTGAAAGTTCAAACTGAACAGCAGGAACAGGAAGCAGCTGCTCAACAGGAAGAGAAGACAGCAGCGCTGCCGTCATCTGTACATGACTTTTTTTCATGCATAAATGAATAAATACACAATGCAGTCAGTTATTACCAGCACAGAGTCATTGTCGTGGTAATGTCCTTTTCCCCACCAACGCACCTGGAGTCAGTTCCATGCTTATGTCACTTCCTGTGACTCCCTGTGTGTCCAGGATGACCGCCTGTGCACATCTGCACGCTCACACGTGTGAAGTTCCTTTGTGCCTTTATTCTCCTGCGTGTGATTCTTCTGCTCTGGCCTGACCTTGTGGTCTGCAGAGGGCGCCGCACAGACCAGCTGCTATCATAGGTCAAAGGTCACGTGAACAGAAACCTGATGGTACCTGCAGCGTGCCAGACTCCAGCTTCTGATTGGCTGTTTTGATTCTGCTCAATCAGAGCAGCGCCAGGAAGATTATTCCACAACACTACACCTGCTGACAGGAGAAAGAACACCTGTGAGCGTGGAGGTCAGAGGTCACATGGTGTTCATGTGAGCACAACACTGCCTGTTTGACCTGCAGATGAACTCACCTGACATCCTCGGCCATGACTCACAGCCGAGAGACGTTTCCCCCACACAGAGAGGAGGAGCTCACAGGAAACCACGGCAACAACAGGCTTTAATAACAGCCTGTGACACACACACACACAGTAACACACACACACACACACACAGAGAAACACACAAAGACACACTAACAGTAAGTGTGTGTACGTGTTACTCTGTGTGTGTGTGTGTCTGTCTGTGTGTGTTACTGTGTGTGTGTGTGTTACTGTTAGTGTGTGTGTGTTACTGTTAGTGTGTGTGTGTTACTGTTAGTGTGTGTGTGTGTGTGTGGTTCACAGCAGCCTTCTGATTGGTGGATGTTTGGTGTTACCCTCATATGAAGATGAAGCTGAGACCCTCGTCCTCCTCGGTGGTCCCACCAGGCGGTGAGGTCCGGGTCTTTGGCTCCGCCGCTCCTGGAGCCGCTGTGTCTGTGCGTAGGCGTGCAGGTGACAGGTGAGTCAGTGAAGAGCTTTTAGTGAGATTTACAGCCTTGTGAGTCACAACGAAGCCGCCTCCTCGGCGTCGACCTCCACGCTGTCATCGGCGCCATGTGAAACACAAGGCAGTGAATAAAAAACTGGAAACAGGAGCGAAAGGTGCAGCGTGACATCAGACGCTGAAAATTCTCTGCATGAAATATTCATACGTCATGTCACACAGGTGTGTTCACAGTTCACACAGCCACGCCGGCAGGTAGGAGGAGGAGCAGGTACTGCATGAGTCACATGACCCGTCTGCTACTGTATGAACTTGTTCTGACCCTGAGGGACGCACACACGAAGGGACGCACACACGAAGATGACCTGGTCTCTAAATGCAGGTAAAAGGAGACCCGCTCTCACCTGTCCTGATTATCACACCTGAAGTCAGGTTTACCTGCAGACTGTGACCCCTGACCCCTGCAGTGGGGTCACATCTGGGTACAGTTTCCATCAGAAGTTAAAGGCGTGCTTTCACCTTTGGAACGTTTCATCTGTCCTTAGCGGCTCTGAAAGCATCTTCCGTACAAACAGGTGCAGCACAGGTCTGAGGGTCTCACCTGGACTTCCATCCTCCCCTCAGCTGCACCTCAGTGAGGAGGTGTCCTCCCGGCCTCCCCCTCTGTGTCTCCGCTCAGTGTTTGGTGTAAGTGTCCTTAAATCCAGCAGCTCGTCCTCTTAATCTAGTCCGATAATCCGCCGCTGCGCTCGCTCATTAAAGCTCCACACCGGGCCGTCAGCTGGAGCAGAGGCTGATCTGGGACCAGCCAGTATAATAATAATAATAATAATAATAATAATAATAATAATAATCACCCTGAATATGTTTCTTTGTGGCTGTCGGGTCTCCTTTGTATGGAGGAGTCCTTTTTAGGGCCTTGTTGTGGGTCTGCCTCTATGCGTGTGCAGGTCTCGTTCACTGACCTGAGTGCAGTCAGACCATCAGCGCTGAAACATCTGGAGCTTCATGAAGCCACGAACCAGCTGTTTAACGCTGATGTGTTTCCTGCATTTCAAACACGTTAAAGATGATCTTGCTTATTAAACTTTAAACAGCAGGCCTGCCTTCAAGCACCCCAATCAGCTCTATGGTTTTTCACATTAAAAGCTCGTGCTTATTTTTTAGGGTTTGACTATAATTGAAACTCTTATTGTGAAGGACGATGCCTCTTTAATTTAAACTCTAAAACAATGTGAACTCTTTAACGAGGTGTTCAATGTAAGACTAAAAACTGTTTTTAAAGGGACATTTGTACAGAAGTGTGAAAGGTTGAGACGCATTAAATAAAACTCTTACTGTGTTTTGAGGATAATGAGAAATAATGAATCTTTCACCTTAATCTGCAGGATTATTTCATGACGTTTTGAAATAATCCTGCACACGTGATTTAATATCAGTCTTCAGCAGAAATGGAGAAAAATCCTTTTTAGACGGACCTTTGTGCGCGCGGCGGCGGCACGTGCACTTTTATTGTCTATTAAAATATTTTTAAAATGTTAAAAAAATATAAGATTTAGTTTTTATTTTATGGGGAGTTTAAACAAAAACAAAAATCAAACATTTCCAAAAGTTTATAAAGAAACGGGCCCGGTTCCGGTTCGGTGAAGCCGCAGGTGGAGGCTGAGTGGAGGAATGACTGGAGGAGGAGGGGGGGAGCAGCGGAGGGCCGGACCTGCACGGGGAGGAGGAGGAGGCTCACATCAGTCCGCAGGTCACCATCACCTCCTCCTCCTCCTCACTAACTCTCGGCTCGGCACGGCACGCTTCCACCTGGAGCAGCGCGCAGACACTCAGACGGGGACAGGACCGGGAGGCCAGGAGACCCGGAGCGGGACCTGCAGGATCCGCGATCCGGCCGCGGGCTCCCGACATGCTGGGCACGGTGAAGATGGAAGGCCACGAAGCTCCGGACTGGAGCGGATACTACAGCGAGGAGGTCGGTCACCGCCGCGCCCACGGCGTTAGACCCGGGCCAAGAGCCGGGATAAGAGCCCGGCCGGATTAAAGCGTTTAACGGGAAAACTGCGCGAAAGTTCTCCGGTTAAAGTTCGGGTTCGGTTTGGTTTTAAAACTGTGTTTTTTATTTATCAGAAAATCCAAAGCAAGTAAAAATGAACTTTATCAGAGAGAAAGCGAGAGATTTAAAAATCTGTTTAATCAGCTTTAAATCTTTCTTCAAACACGAGCAGCAAAATCAGAGCGTTTGGTTCCGGATAATATGTCTTATATTAATAATATTTAATATTAAATAAATATACTTAATATAACAGAAAAAATCTGCGGCGATTTTATTCAAATTAAAATAACAAAGATAAAAAAAAGTTTCAGAGTTTCAGAGAAAATCAGGACAAAGAAGCTGAGACTCTAAAATCGGGTCTTTTTCAAACTGTCTCTGGCGCAGACGCGAACCCGCTCCTTCGCTGCGGGTATTGATCACTGATTATCGGAAATAATAATAATAATACGAAGAAGAAGAGCCGCTATTACCGGATAAACCCGATTAATTTTCCAAAGATTGTAACAGAAACTATTTGTTAATCTCTCTGATGTGAAAACTTTTATTTAATCATTGATTCATTTCATCCGTTTCATTTTTAATTATCTCAGTTCTGTTTCACCGCAGAAAGTCACAATTATATTAAAGAAATATTAACAATAATAATCAAACAGCAGCAACGTTTTTAATGTTTCAGTGAAATCTAAACAAACTGCGTTTATTTCACCGTCACGACGTGAAAGTTTAAATAAATACTGATTTATTTTAACTTTATTTAATCGTTACTCCGTCAAGAAAAACAATTAAAATAAACAATCAAAATAAACCAGAACAAAAAAAGATTCATGAATATTTTAAATTAGATTCTGAATGAGGATGAAAATCTTCCGATAATAAACTGATAATCAATCATTTTATTTAATGGGAAAAACGAAGCTGTGGTTTTATTTATTTATTTATTTTTAATCCCGTTTAATAAAAAAATCTGAAAATGAAAATCAAACTGAAGTTGGAACAAAGAGCAGGAGGCCGCTGCTGACCGAGCCTCAGTCAGAAACGATAAAGTTTAAAAATCTCAAAATAAACTGCAAAATAAAAAAATTAAATTAAATTAAATTAAATTAAATTAAATTTCTTCTCTTCAGCTAATTAAAACTTTTAAAGTGTGAATGTGGAGGAGAAACTCGGACCCTACATACAAGTATAAAGTATCATCATTGTTATCAATAACAGAACGCTTTCACTTCAAACTGTTCATCAAATACACAGAAAACGTTCTTTAAATGTTTTTTAAACCAGGTTCTCGTGTATCATTAATGGACTGCTCTTTATTTCTTGCTGAGCGCTCATACACATACACTTCAGGATTGGAGGAGCCGGGCATCGCGCCGCTGACTTTTCTTTTGGTCGGCGACCCGGTCTTCCTCCTCCTCCGGTCCTGAGATCTCGGGACCAGGCTTAACCCTCCTCTGCAGACCTGACTGCCCACATGATTCTGGAATAAAATCTGAGGAGACTTAATCAAGTTTCACATTTTTACAGGCAAACAACCAGCAGGGGGCACTGCAGAAGGACAGTCCAACAGAGCAAACTGGGTCTTAGACCTGGTTCTGGTTTCAAACTTTTCTGTATTAGTCCGATTGGTCTTAGTCTTGGTCCTGGTTCTGACTGGTTCTGGTCTCTCTCTGCAGGTGTACTCCCCAATGGCCAGCGCTGGGATGGGTTCTGGTCTGGGGATGGGCTCCATGTCCGGCTACATGTCGAGCACTGGGACCACGTCAGGTTCCTTCAACATGTCCTATAGCGGCACTGGTCTCAGCCCTGCCCCCGTAGGAGCAATGGCGAGCTCTGCTCCGGCGGCCATGACGGGGCTGGGCGGGGGAGTGGCATCGATGGGCGGGGCCTTGAGCCCATCCGGGATGGGTTCGGTGTCGGCCCAGCAGGCCTCGATGGGCCTAAACCCGTACGGCCCCATGAGCCCCAGCATGAGTCCCGGCATGGCGTATGGCGGAGGCGGACTAAACCGAGCCCGGGACAACAAAGCGTTCAGACGGAGTTACCCACACGCCAAGCCGCCATACTCCTACATCTCCCTCATCACCATGGCGATCCAGCAGGCGCCCAGTAAGATGCTGACGCTAAGCGAAATCTACCAGTGGATCATGGACCTGTTCCCATACTACCGACAGAACCAGCAGCGTTGGCAGAACTCCATCCGCCACTCGCTGTCCTTCAACGACTGCTTCGTGAAGGTGTCGCGCTCGCCGGACAAACCAGGGAAGGGCTCGTACTGGACCCTGCACCCGGACTCCGGGAACATGTTTGAGAACGGCTGCTACCTGCGTCGCCAGAAGAGGTTCAAGTGCGAGAAGAAGATGTCGGCCAAGTCAGACAGCAGGAAAGAGCAGGTGGGCGGCAGCGGAGGCGGGGCTGCGTCTCCCGCAGGGGATGCTCTCAAAACTCCGGGACTCCTAGACTCCTCGCTGCCCTCCTCCAGCCAGGCTGCTTCGCCCCCCGGGCTGGACCTGCGGGGAGGCGTGGGCGGGCCGTCCGACCTGAAGGTGTCCAGTGCCCAGCTCCTTTCCTCGCTGTCACTGCCCCCCCACTCCATGGCTCACGAGTCGCAGCTCCATATCAAAGGAGACCCGCACTACTCCTTCAACCACCCGTTCTCCATCAACAACCTGATGTCGTCCTCGGAGCAGCAGCACAAACTGGACCTGAAGGCCTACGAGGCCCTGCAGTATTCCTCCTACAACACCGGGGTGGGGTCCGGCCTCGGGGGGAGGACCATGGAGCCGCTGGAGGCTTCCTACTACCAAGGGGTCTACCCCAGACCACTCCTCAACACCTCATAGTAGCTGCTGCGCCTCCTGCTGGACTCTGCATGCAGCTGTCATAGACATCCTGTTGGACTGAGACGGACTTCTGAACTCCTGCACTGTGACCGAACCGGGACGCCAACAGACATGAGACTGACCCCAGGTCTGTGATCTGCTTTTACACACGAGTCACAAATGATCTGAGGTACAAAAACAACAACCGGGTCAGACTTGAACCAGAGTCCAGATTGTGATCCACCTGAAGAACCCTGGAAGGTAAACCGCAGGGTTCTGCTAGGAGGTGGAGCCTGGGAGTCCTGGTTCTGAGTCTGATCCTGCTTTGGTTGGGGACACAGAGAAATCCAGTACTGCAAAACCAGTGTCATCGGACCCGTTCAAAACTCACCGGTGTAACCAGACTCCCTTCAGCAATGTCAGTCTGCATGCAGGCAAAGCCATACCAAACTTCATTCAAGTTTTAAGTAATTTAATGTTAGTTTTCATGTAGGCAAATCCAAGACAAACTCTGTATGTAAGCATGAATATCCGCAGTTAGTGTGGGTACTGCGGCTAGTTTAACATTAGTCTGCATGTAGCATGAGTTGTGACCAAACTCCATTCAAATATCAGTAAATTTAACACACAGACGTGAGGTTTGAATTAGTGGCTGCTGCAGGTAAAGCTGCATTAGCTAAATGATAAAACACCAAACAGTTCTGTAAGTTTAAAGTGTGAAGACCTTTAGGTTTCTCTGATCCAGGTCAGAGACTCGGTTCTTTAAGGACTCGGTCAGAACTCTGCTGTCTCTGAGATCCTGGCCAGCAGCACACATTAACATTGACCTTTCACCCTCAAGTGTGACCGAGCATGGCTGTTTCGGCTCAGGCATCTGTGAAACTGTTGGTGTCCCTCAGAGGGCCACGAGCCGCAGGTTGAGCCACAGTGGTTTGGAGTCCTGCTTAGAGCAAGGTCAAAGGTCACACTGCAGATGTTTACAAACACACTGATGATCAGGACTCGTCTTTCTGATCAGGATTTATTTCTCCCACGACCTTGTCTGCTCCTCTGCTGACCTCTGGCCGGGTCGCGCGGCCCAGCCTGAGAACCTGCCGCTCAGATGAAAGGCTTTTCATTTAAAGGATCATTTCACCCCAAAAACAGTCCCGCTCTGCCATTCTCTCCATTCTCTCCTCGCCGCCGTTTGGGCTGCAGGAAGCACTCGGTCAGGAAAAGTGTTCAGAATATTGAAGTTAAAGTCCTCTGACGTCGCCGTTACTAACAGAGAAAATTAAAATATTTGTAGTCATTAAAAGTTTACAGAGATAAATAAATTTCCTGATACAGCAGCTTCTGTTTTAAACGAAACATTCATCTTAGCAGGGTCACGGAGCAGCACGACGACATGTCTGATTTTCAAATCGAACGCAAACAAGTTAATTTGACTTCCTGTGAAGCTGAAGATCGCAGACCCAGAGTGAGGGTCACACAACACTCAGCATCCACACAAACCCACACGACCTTCACTCATCATCCACACACAGGTGAGGCTGAAGCTGCTTTCAGGGTTTCAGTACTTTTACTCAAGTAACTTCATTCTGAGTACTTTTACTTGACAAACTTCAGACGTTTATGTGCTGCTGCAGTTTGTCACTGGAACTTTTTTATTGATCTAACAATTTATAGACGTGCAGCTGAGACGATCGATCAGTGATTTGATTATTTATGTTTTTCACTGAAAAATATTTGCTGCTTTTCTTTTTACGTTTGAGGAACTATTTAAAAAACCAAACAACAGCAGCACTTTAAAACAAGCTCGACAGAAACAAGAAACAAACCCGATGATATATATCAATAATTAGAGAGTATTTTTACTCTGATTACTGTTAGTATTCAGTGTAACTCAAACCGGTCATGGTTTTCAGATATAAAATCAAACGAGTTCGAGCTGAACGAAAGAATCAAGACAAAAAAGAATCGTTAATGACAGTAAACTTCTTCTCACAGGGTTAAAGCACCTGCGTCACGTGACCGGCAGAAAAGCACCTGATCCATTTTATCCAATCACAAACTAACCACATAAACCTGAATTACATCATAACTCATCATTATTGTTATTTAATGGTTGGTTTGGGGTGGAATAACCTTTATTACATTTTAATTCATCGCCAGTTCATCGTCTGTCACTTAGTTTCAAACTGGAGTTAAACTTTCAAAATTAGTTGCAAGAAGCTTCAAACTAGGAGGAGTGTTGGAGCACTTCCTGCTTCTGAGCATGCTCTGTAGCTCACCTGTGTTTTAGCGCTCCCCCCGACGTGACCGGAGACACGAGGCCGCAGGAAGTCTGCCAGCGGTGCCCTCCATGCCAGACTGTGAGGAGGGCGGTTGTGACATCACAGCCTGGGATGAAGGGCGTGGCGTTCTGTCGCTGAGGTGTACCGGTCACTTCCTGCTCGCCAGTTTAACCACCTGACGGCACCTGCAGCAGAGCATGACCTCACATGACCTCTGACACGTAAACAGGAAGCAGAGAGACTCACGAGACTCAATAATCAACAACGGATCGAGCGCTGGGTTCATCCTCCAATCAGTCGATCGATGATCTGATCGATCGGTGACTCTGTGTGTAGAAGCAACATCACTTCCTGTCTGTGTATTTAACCCATCACAATTATTACTTATTGATTATTACCATGTGCATGAATGAAGTGGGAGGTCTTCTTCTTCTCCTTCTGTCGCGTCCTCGTCGTGTGTTTGTCCTTCGTTGGTTTTGATGCATGTTTTAACTTATTCTGTCATTTTCAAATAAAAACATGGAACGCTGCAGGCTGATCGGGTTATTGATTGTTGATCGATTCAGACGTGTTTCATTTATCGATCATTTACGTTACTGATTACAAAACAAACAGACCGATGTTGGAATCAGCTGATCAATAAATGTCTCTGCTGCCCTGTGAAAACCACGTATCTCGCTCAGAGAACTGATTTATTTATCAGGAGAACAAAATTACTGATCACTTATGACTAATCAATCACGAGCAGCAGTCAGCTGATAACAGCAGAATAATCAGAACTGATCGATCAAGTATCAGTAAATTCATTTATCTTCGATAAGCTGAGGACAAAAGAACATTTTCAATAAAAACATTGAGAAGAACGATCTGATTTTTACTGGTTTTAATTTTGTCTCTTTGATTTCATTTAATCGAGAAAATTGTTTCCAATATTCAATTTCAGCAACAACAAAGAGAACGAGTGAAAGCTCGTCCATCACTCGCTGTGATCCTTCACTGAAAAAGTACAATCAAATAAATAGATACATAAAATAAACGATTAAAATAAAATGTGTATTTGTTTTATTTTATTTCTTGTTAGTTCTGGTGGACAGAAAGCTCGCATCTCCAGGCTTCTCTGTGACCGCGTTTTTGTTTGTTTGTTTTTAGTGTAAACACCGGAAACAGCTGATTTATTATTTTTTCGTTTTTATATTTCGTTTCTTTTATTTTGTCCTGTTTTTGTTTCATTTACAGTTTTAATGATGTTTTTATTGTTTATTTGTTTGTTGATTTTATCTGCACATCTTTCTGTCGCCGGGTTTGTGTTTCTTTAATTATTTTTATTTAATTCTCCTTTATTCATTTTTTAAATTTTGGTTTTATTCCCGGTTTATTTTCACCGCTTTGTTTTAGTTTCTTTATGTGTTATTATTGTTGTGCCCCCGGTGTTTCGGCTCCGCTCGGCTCGTGTCTCGGGGCTCAGGCCGGCCTCGGTCCGCCTCCCGCGGTCTCGCGGTGCGGATTTCGCGGCTGTTTGCGGGCCGTGAACCTGAACACGAGCCGACAGATTTCACTTTGATCTCGAGCTTTTTCCCCTTTTTGCCGCAAAATGTCTCCAGTGATCCCGGAATTACCCGCCAATTATCCGCAGACATGAACCCGCAGCGGAGACGCGCACAGAGCCCGGACAGTCGAGCTGGGCCGAGAGGAGCCGAGGGCCGCTTCGGAAGGACAAACAAACAAACGACGAAACAATAAACGTAAGAAATTAGAAATGAAAAGTAGAAATAAATAAAAACAAGAAATAAAAACACAGAGAGGAGGACGCGCGTCTTTCAAAATAAAACTTCTAAAAATAATGAAAAACATTTATGTTGAAGGTAAAAAAAATCAAAATGGTGACAGAGAATTTATTTTATTCTTATTCAGTTTTTATTTTTAATCCACAAACAAATCAAAGCAATTAAATGATTTGAGCTTGTTTACAGAGGAGCTCTTTGTTTGTTTCTTTGTTTGTTTTTGATCATCAGAAAAGTCGGACTCTGATATGAAAAACAGCGCTCTGTGTGTGTGTGTGTGTGTGGGGGGGGGGGGCATTTCATTTGCTGCCGTTTTTCAAACACTGACCTTCATGTGTCATGATTTAACACAGAGACTTTTATTGTGGAGGATCAGAGCTGACTGTAGACCAGTTTATATGTTCGTTAACACACACACACACACACACACACACACACACCTGCATGCAGAGACCGGTCCTTGTGTCAGGTCCTTGTTGTGCAGTGGAGCTGTTGTGTTAAAACAGATTCACAGAAATAAGAAAGGAAACAAAGGTGAGAGAACGAAGAGAGATGAGACAGACAAACCATTTAAATTAACGTGAGTTACCTGGAATAAAACACGCACACGCTGCGTGGGATCAAACATAAGAGTTTGAAATGATAAATTAAAAACGAGTTCATTTTTATGTGATGAAACATTAAAAGTGAAACCTTTTTAAAAGCTGGCGGTCACACATCAAATATTAATTATTGATCAGTTACCTGATGGATGAGCTCAGAATCCGATTTATTCAGAAATAAATAAATCAAAGACCTTTGATTTAAAAATCATTGATCATGAATTCTTTAGGCCAAAATAATCAATAACAATTATCTTGAATCATTTTTTCTGGACTTAATAAATTTATTTGATCAATCAAACGTGCACCATCAGTTTATAACACGTGATTATTGATTATCGATCATGTTGAACATCCTCAGCAGGATGATGTGTAAACGTCGTGTGAACGTTTGTTTTTTCCGTGTTTGTGGCATAAATCAAAAATTATGAGCGAAAGTCGCGATCGTTTCAAACTGAACGATTATCGGCAATAAATCTTTAAACAAACGCGAGCAGCTGTCCTGCCTGTGACGTGAATATTAATGATTTTAAACATGTGTGAGTTTAAACAACACGTTGAAAACTCTTGATTTCAAATATGAAAACGGCGAGTGTCTCTGAGGCGACACAGCAAACATTCAGACTGAACATCGTTCTTCATCCCCGAGAATCAAACAATAAAAACACTAAACAAAGATTTATAATAATAATCATGATGATGCAAAATAAGTAATTAAATAAAATGAAATGAAATAAAATACTAGTGGGTCTTCTGCAGGTATTTCACAGTAAAAGTTTATTTTTCAGAGGTCAGATGTCGGGGCTTTTATTTTCTCGGGCTGATCCTCGGACAGTCCGCTTAGCTGATGCGACTCTGGCGGAGGACTGTGGGAGGAGGTGATGATGGAGGTGAAGACGGAGGCCGTCGCGTCTCCTGATGGAGCGGAATCCTCCGCTGTAATACGGGCCATATGTTCTCGGCAGGGTGGAGGGGGGCCCTCCGGCGGCGGCGGGCCCGGCCCTGAGGCCCCCGGCCTCATTTCTCTAAAGCTCTCGCTCCTTTTCTCTCCACTCACGCCTTATGGAGGGAGATGGCGGCCACAATGCGGCGGCCTTCGGCCCTTTTCTTCCCCTTGCCTTTCATTCGCCCGCTAGAAAAGCGCGAACAGGGGCCCCGGGGCCACTAATGCCTTTTGATGGGGATTAGAATTAATTATCTCCAATAACACAATTGTGCCGGGCCACGAAAAGAGCAAAGAAATCCCCTCCAAAACCATAGAAGAAGAAAGGAGGCGAGGGCGATCAAAGCGGGGAGAGAGAGAGCAGCTGCCTCTCCATTAAAACGATACGGAGGAAGTTTATTAGAGCTTTGAGGGCCTAATATGGATCAGCCGGGAGGTTGGTGGTCCTGCGGGGGGGGGGGCGATTACAGATGATGGAGGGAGGGGGAGGGGGCGTGGGGTAATTGGCAGAGATTTCATGGTCGTTCAGCTCAAACCGGATCACTGAGCAGCAAAGTTTCAGCTGCTGAAACATGAGATCAGCTTCCTCTGATCGATCAATACAGTAATGATGATCGAGCTGTTATTGATCGTGTAAAAACTTCAAACTGCTCGCAAGTCAGTGAGAGGGGGCCGAGGCCCGACCGCCATGAACCAAACATAACAACATAAACATGGTTGTGGATCATCAGGCCAGCAGTAACCAACTATTATCGGTTATTGATCGATCAGTGGTGAACTGGTGATTTCAGTGATTGGACAGTTATATTAGATCAATAAATCATCAGTGACACGACTGATGCAGAGACGGCGTCCACAGTCTCACCACACGGAAACTGGCTGATCACAAGTTGCTGCAACCAGCACAGTTGGATGTAAGGCGGTTGCAGAGGTGTGCGGCGGGGGTCCAGCTCAGAGCCAATCACAGACAGAAGCACCTGTGGCAACGGGCTCGTCTGCTTTTATTCTGAAAGAAGAGGTGCATCAGCTCATCGTTGCATCACCGTGTTGCTGCAGCAGAGCTGCAGACCGCTTCAGAGGCGCATGTTGATGCAGGAAGTCACAGACATTTTGTGCTTGTTCCTGACTGGCTAACAGAAATCTTCCTAGAACAGTACCCACCAATCAGAAAACTGCAGGGTGGAAAGTCGAACCCAAAACCTGCAGTTGGGGCGTGGCTTTTTAGACTTCCAGGTGGCTGCGGCTTTGTGCCGCTGGAGCGTTTTTATTTATTTGACCATGGCTGCTCTGAGGTTACCGTTCCCAAACATCCAACCAGTCTCTGCTCCAGGTTTAGGGGCTGAAATCAAGGATTTTGATTGGATCCTCCAGATCAGCAGGTGTGTGGATGCAGACATAACGTCACAATGTCTGCGCTTCACCCTCTAGACCAGGGGTGGGCAACTCTAGGCCTCGAGGGCCGGTGTCCTGCAGGTTTTAGATCTCACCCAGGGTCAACACACCTGAATCACATGATTAGTTCATTACCAGGCCTCTGGAGAACTGCAAGACATGCAGAGGAGGTCATTCAGCCGTTTAAATCAGCTGTGTTGGATCAAGAACACATCTAAAACCTGCAGGACACCGGCCCTCCAGGCCTGGAGATGGACACCCCTGCTGGACGGAGGAGGAACTGCAGGTTTGGTGCTTCTCTGCTGCACACCTGTGATGGCTTCACCTGGAGCTCTGTGATTGGTTTCTCCGAGTGAGAGGGTCTCTGTGTGGCGTTTGGCTAACGGTATGTGAACTGGAGCGCTGTGGAGTGCTTCCACCCTG